AATCGATTTTGAGAGAATACAAGTCAAATTTTCTTTCTTTGTCTTTTTACTGCAAATTTCCTACCAACAGTACTCTTTTCAGTCACTTGAAGGTACAAGCCGTGGAGCGGCAGATGTCTTGGCATCTTACTGCTGACGCTGAGCGAGTCCAGTGCGGGTATGCCTCTCACCACAAGGCTCCTGGTTCTAGCGGGCATCACGATATACGGGGCCTTCGACCGGGGATCATGGGCCTTGACACTGCACCCCCAGGCGAGGTGTCAGCAGCTGCTCCTACCGTGAGTAATCGTCTAGCTCTTCTGGGGAGACGGTTACCTATACCAGAATACAGATGCTATGGTTGGGCTTCCTCACTAGCCAAGGGATGGTGGACACGCATGACCAGTTTCGTCTTGGCGCGCTGGGAGAGGGATTTGAAGAGCAGTGGATTGTATGCACCTATACGAGCCACCACCGACATGTATGACACTCTCTGGGATCTTACCTGTCATTATCACACCTCCTTGGTTCAGACTTCTCCTCAAGCGAAGAGGAAGAGGCATGTCAGCTTGAAGCAGTTTGCCTGCTATTTGTTCCAGAACTTGGAGGGTAACTCCGATGAGTCCATTCATGAGTTAGACATATTGACCCCTTCTGCGATTAATGAGTTGCTGGAGAAGGCTGAGGCTCAATCTTACACTATCGCCAGTGCTGAGGGAGCTTTTCCCGCGGGGACCAAGTTTCGCTCTTTTCTCTGCCGTGCACAGAAGTCCATTGGGCCCCGGACTTTATTAGCAGGCTACCTTGCCCTTTGGTTGAAGAAATGTGTTGTCCCGCACCAGCCTTCGGACGCTCTACCCATTGAGGTGCTCTTCCCTGCAGTTCAGCTATCTTACGGGAGAGAGCTTTCCCTGCTCCCAGCAATGGTTGCTAGCATCCATTGTGGGCTCAGGTGTTTAGTTAGCAGTTTCACACATATGGGTTCTGAACCATCAGCTGAGCTCGTTTGTCCGAAGGTTGAGCTCCCTTACGCATATCTGATGGCGTGGCTTGTTCTCCACCGTCCCGACTTGATGTCGGCGCCCAGCGTTGTTGACATCCTCGTTCCTTTCATGCAGCTGCTGGAGAAGAGCAGATGGCTCGGGAATAAGTTTAGCGATGTTCAACGAGAGCTTCGAGTCCGCAAGAGCTGGGAGTTCTTTAAGTGTTTCCCTCACTTTTCAGGTCGCTATGGCGACGTGCTGATTGATGAGGAGAAACCTAGAAGTGATCGGACCGTTCTCGACGCTGGTTGCTTCCGGTGGCTAGTGAACATCCGCATTGGGTATCTTGTCCTCCGGGTGAAGAACCAATGCCACATAGAGCCTTATCTTCCTTGCCGCTTTGCTCGCCAGTTCGGCTATGACCAACTGTATGTCGGGAATCCGAGCCGTAGCCTGCAGGTTGAGGGAGGATTGATTGACGGCGTACGAGTGCGGCTGTGGACGATGGTGGGCTGCACTGGAGCCCATTTTGCTCTCCCTTCGTATAGGCGTAAGCCGCTGACCACTTTCCTCAGCTGCAAGTGGTTTCTTTCCGCCTATGAATCCATCAGTGTTAGGAGCCTCTCAGAGTTACAGTCCGAGTACTCAGTCCGGGCTGCTATGATGGCTGGTCACAGGGCTGAGCTTGCTTAGAAGCGGAGAAAAGGGCATGCCAAATCTCTTCTCACAGATGATGAAGAGCTCCTCCCCACGGGTAACGACGACGATATCTCCGAGGAGGAATATGTGGATGCAGACACCGACCAAGAAGAACTCGATACTGGTTTGTCCTGTTTCTTCGATTTTCTTTCTCCATTCTTGTTGGTATAAACGGCAGCTCTTGTCCGTTTAATGATCATTGTCACTTTAGGTAGGACAGTTGACGATCACGAGCCGCCAGCTTCCACACACGCTGAAACGTGTGATAGGCATGTGCATGATCGACCCGTTGGTCCTAGGAGAGTTGGTGCCCCGAAGAGGAAGAAGACCGCACATAAGCCCTACGACGGTCAGCGTCCTTATGGAGTGGACTTAGGAAGCACCGTCGATGGAGGGGAAGGTAACATTTATTTTCATTGCTTTAAGGTGATTTACCTTTTGGGATTTGTGACCATGTTTTATGCTCCAGGGTTCTTCGAAGAGGGCGAACTCCCACCGGGTTCGGAATCTCCTAGTGTTGATAACATGGATTGCTTTATGCAGCAAATGTGCGACGCCCTTCATGACGGGTCTCTGGGCATCGACCTAAACATCGATCTTGAGCAGATGAATAATGTCGAGCCCACAGTCCCATATTCAGGTATATCTACATCCAATGTCACTTTCCTCAAGCATGGGGAAGGAAGATCTTCCGTTCTTGCCGCAAGTATTTTCTTGAGTTTTCCTTTTCAACATTCAGGTTACCCTGCAGATGTCGCGATGGAAAGGCCAAGCTTCTCGAAGCCCGATGCTGGCTTATTAGCTGACATACTGGCTGAGCAGACCTCTAGAGGAACCGAGAGACCATTCTTTGGGAATGATTCATCCACCGGTATATATCTGGTTCCCTTCATCTTGCCTGATCTTTTATCTGACTAATGAAGGATTACTATTACAGCGCCGACCATTGGGATCAGTCCGATATCAATTCCCGGCATACCCAGCTTGCCTCGGAGTGAAGGACTTGCAGGTACGCATACGACTCAGGGATATCGTACTTCTCTATGTTCATCTGACTGTTGACTAATATATGAGTGCAATCATAGGACCAGCCACCGGGGCTGATTCTCTTATGACTCCTGGCATTTCTCAGATGCCTACGGATGATGGATCTACAGGTATGCAGATAACCTTATTATCCCAATCCTCCTTATTTGTCTAAATTTTCATTTTGACTAATAAGAAGGTGCCACTATAGGACCAGCCGCTTGGGCCGATACTCTTATGACTCTTGGCATTCCGGCTGCATCTGAGGACGGTGGGATTGCAGGTATGCATACGATCTTCTTGTCCCGATTCTCCTTATTTGTCCAAATTTCCATTTGGCTAATG